ACCCTCCACCGGTTTGTCCGAAGGGAGCCTCGCCGACCACTTTCAGCTGCGCATCCCAGAAGCAAGAACCCGATTGGGGGTGTGCGGGGTGGGTAATTCTCCCGGAAGATTTCCAGATTGGGTGGATGGGGGGGGGGGGGGGGGTGCTCGATAAGCGAGATTTCGGATCGGTAGGAGAGGCGGGGCAGGATCTGCCCGGTTGGGGAAAGTGATGGGTGAGGTTGTGTCGCCATCTCGGAGGGTGGTGGCACAGGTGCGTGATGAGTTTGGATCCGGGCTGGTAGGCGCGAGTGACGTCCTCTGATGTCTGGGAGTGCTTGTTTTTTTCCAGAGTGGAGTGCTTTTAGTTCGGTCCGCTGTCTTGCGAGGGCATATGCGACTCGGGTAAGCCTGTCGGGGTTATCGGCGTCTAGCGCTTAGGGTCAGTAGGTGGGAAAGGGCAAATTTTGGCAAGGAATCGATTGCGCCAGATCCATGAAAAGCGATTATGATACGCTCGCTTAAGCTTATTTGCTGCGTGATACGGCTTCCTGCCCTACACACTCCTTTTTACATTAAAACCTACGCCTGTCACCGGCATTGTGCCCGAGTACCGTGAGTGCAAATTCTTCATCAAAGTCATTAATTCAAATCGTACATTTTACTATCTATCTAGACCTACCGTACAGTATGATACCATACAAATAAATAAAAAAAATAAAAAACTAAAAACAAAACCCCCAGATACACAGCCCTTTCCTAAAACGAGGCACCAAGTCCCCTGCCCACCCCCGAAACCCCCTAGAACCAATCAAAATAACTACCTTTGATTGGCCTAATCGACAATGAATCCCAAATAAACCCACCCGACCAATCATAATCTTCCATTTCATCCCATCCCTCCATCCACCGCTTTTTCCATTCCGGTCACTCGTAGAGAACACAGGTTAGCTTAGGCCATTGCGAACTAAGCTACAGACCGAAATCCGCAGACATCCACTTTTTCCTCACCGCTCGATCCAGCCCAGAGGCCTCGGTGTCTCTCTCTTCCACAGTGCTCGTACAGTAAATTTACCGCACTCGTACCCGCCACATCCCCCACGCTTCCTTCACCACTTCCACTGCATACCACCACCCTTCCAGCGGAGCTGCATCGTACGGTACGGTACGATACGTCGCTCGCCCAACCGTATGTGCCGTACCGTACCGCGCTCGTATTGTCGACTTGTAATGGTTAGACAGTCCCGCTTAGCGGGTTCGTCAATCAGCTCGTTTTTCTCTCCCCCCGTACCATTTAACCGAAGCTGGAAAGCTCGCACAAGTGCTTGTAGGAGTGAGTAATTCGGCACCAATCCGGTCTCAGATAGCTCGAGAACAATTTCAGTTTATTATCATTGTTATTATTATTATTATCATTGTTATTATCGTTATTTCTTTTTATTAGGGCGGCGGACCTGCACATAAACTACCGTATCAGTCGCCTTGTGACCCCGAAAAACGAAAGAAGGAAAGAAGGAAGACGGAAAAAAAGAAAAGAGAGAGAGAGAGATAGAGAGATAGAGAGAGACATCCCAAGATTCAAACGCGCGTCTATGAGCGATATTCGGCCCATGTATGATAGGAATCGCTATCCGAGCCAGAAAACGTACGATAACGCCAAAGTGAACCCTAACTTACTTATTATCTCCGCAATCACACAATATCTAAACCTAAACTGAACACATTCCCTGTCTAAGACATTCTATCATGTAAATGCTAAAACATTCGTGCGAGGAGAGTATATTTTTAACAAGGACGAGGAGTGAAGTGAAGATTTGGAAAAAAAAAAGGGAAAAGGAAAAGGAAGGGAAGGCGTACGACTGAGTTCCCGAGTTTCCCCTCCAAGTGGACTACCTAATAAGGCATTTTGGTTACAAGCTTCCGGACTTCCCGCTCTTCTGAACTTGTTATGGGTTAAAATGTATGTAGTGTGCCGAAATGCAACCGAATCGAGTGATCCTCGGTGACCGCTACCGAAAGGGAAGGGGGGAGAAAAAAACGTAGTTGCATGATGCGGCATGAACTGCTGGAGGGTCGGAGCGCTGCGTGAGAGTGAGTGGGTCTCCTACGACTATCAGACCGCACCGTTCGGAGCTAGCGGCCAGATATCCACACATGTACTAGCGAACGTCAAACTGTCGTAAAGTCTTTTTTTCTTTTTCTCTTTTTCCCCACTTCCAGCATTCTTGTTTGCCCGGGTTCCATTTGCCCTTCCCCACTCCCTTCCATGATGGCACGTATGGTACTGTACAGTAAGTCACGCTACTTGAGTACATAGACACATCCATACATGGTAGCAAAGCTCTCCCTCGAGATTTCCTTCCAGGGTCGGCTTTTGCTCCTGTGCCGCTCCGTACCGCCGGCCTTTTGCAAGGACTTCTCCTGTATCCCTTCTTCCTTTACTCTCGGCCCGCGGCACCGGGGGTACCGGGGTTGTTGGCGGGCGGCCGGGGAACAGAAAGAAAGCACCACGGTAACTTGTGCGTGCATAGCAGGGGGACCCCTTTTAAGGTAAGCTCGACAGCGCGCCCTTTTCTCCTGTCGGACTGTAAGTGTAATATGATAGCATGGTAGCCTTCTCGAGGCCTCGCTGAGAGTGGTAACGATTTAGAGTTATTTCTTGTCTTTGTTTTTGTTTGCCCCTGGCTTCCCCTACCTACTTCCTTTCTTCCTATCATTCCGATTTATCTTTTTCATAGGAATGTTCCCTTGTCACTATAGAAGGAAAGGGGGGGGTGATGGAAGAAAGCTTAATAACCTGATGAGCTGGATTAATTAAGCAAATCTGGGCACGTTTCGAGATAGATTAGATAACGCAATGCGAGACTTCAATCGTTCGAATGCGAGGGGATTGAGCAGGAATAGCCGTTCATTTACAATTCTGTCAAATGTTTAGGTTAATATATGTAACCCCTCTGCCATGTACTCGAGTATCTAAAGTGATAAGGGCTGAACTCGGGAGAAAATATCGAAAGACTTATCCCTTGGTGTTTAACAAAATTCCTAGCAATAGTCAAAGCAACACTACAGACGAAGACATAGCTTTTGGGATAAGACAGGAAAAAAAGAGGAGGTGAGTGAATGACTTACATAGTTTCTGGCCCTCCCCGTCAGTAGGAGATCATGGGACGGTTATGCAGACCTATCTTTCAAACCCCCGCCCCGGAAGAAAGCTAATCGAACGATCAGGGAACCAGAGGCGCAAGAATTGTAGTAGGAGACCGGGAGCGCAACATATCTTCTGCACCCTCAAGAAGAAACCAAGCTTACGGAGGCTAAACGGCCTCCCCCCGGGTGCTGTGCCCCTGCCCAGCTTCCCCCGCCTGCGATGGCTGGGAGTGAATTATCGACTGAGGCTAGGATATAGCCTACCCTGTACGCCCCTCCTCCCCCGGCGGTAGAAATATGAAGGGCCCCCATGTGCTTACCCGCGCTTAGGAGGGCACTCGTCATATCCACCGTATCGCCGATTGCGTCCTTCACGGCCTTGGATTCCGTAATCATGTGGTGTTCCCTGACCGGATCCCAGTTTGCTCATAGAGACGTGCCACCCCAATTTGTAGTCTTGTGTCCTGCATTTATCCAACTTATAGCTGGCCGCTCAATATTGCCCAAGCTAACCATCATCCGTCCGAGGGGCCGAAATAGTGGATATCAGAGCACGAACCTAGAGTTAGATCGAGGGTATAAACTTTTGGGTGTGTAGCATTAATAAAGGATCTAGGAGAGGAAGAAAATTCAGGATATAGAGAATTGTGTGTGGGTGTGGAGGGAGATAGTTACCAATAAGAAAGAAGAGAAAGGCAGAAGGAAGCTCCTTGATATAGGTGGGTCGGCCAACCGCGTTGTCGTTTTCTATACAGAGGAAATAGAGCTGGCGTTAAGAGAGGATGATAGCTAAGAGTCGAGGGTTAAAAGGGGAAATGACCGGAGTGTGGATTGTGGTTTCTAGGTCGAGTTCGACCAATAGAGAAGTCACACAGTATCACTCGGGAAAGGGTGTGAAGGGCACCGGCTTGCGATGCTTCGTTGTTGGAGGCCCGGAGGGCCTGGTGCAGAAGAAAGAAAGAAAGAAAGAAAGAAAGAAAGGGCGGAAACTGTCGGGTTCATTTCCCTATTTGTAGAGTCGGGTTTGGGCTTTCGACCTAAGCCTGCTCGTGTTTACCATACGGCGGAGACCCCGATGGCAATTCCTCATAGAGGATTGGGTCAGCGGGGCCCCGCAAAGCGAGAACCCCCCAAGAACTATGATACCAATTAGACGGTGGAGAATAAGGAAAGGGTGAGTGACAACTAGCGATGAAGTAAGGATAGGGAAAGTGTTAGGGCATAAGAGTGACGCCTGAGCACTTTGGCTCTTGGCCCCCGGTGCAAATGGTAGCAAACAATCATGGCGTACTCAACTTGGGGGGGTATGAACCGCAGGTCCAATTATTCCCCAATATTCCCCGTCTACAGGTGGGAGAGACAGGGTTATAAAGAGAATGGTCATCTGTCCAAACCCACATTCCGTCGCGCCACTTCTTGAAGATTTTCTGAGCACGCAATAGCTTGCGGATGTTCCAAAACCACTCTGGATCTCTAGATTACGCAATCCAGAGCCTTCTTGGCGTTGCTTATCACACTCTAGCCAATCTCGCCGCAGGCTCTGAAATTCCCCTGACATCGCGCAATTTTCCAAGGGTATCGGCACCACCCCTTCTCGCTACAAAAAAAGTAGCCAAAGAGGAAGTCAACAAAGGAAAAGTTAAGGATCGACGAAACAACACGGAACAAATAACAAACAGAGGAACAAACCCGCTATCCGGGCCGTATTCAATTTTTCCACTCGGCCTGCCAGAGATGCTTCGTGGCTGGAGAAGGGAATCGATTAGATCGATCTCATTCCACTTTTTAGAAAGCCGTGGGATATTATATAATGCTTACACGGCTGTCTACTTGTACTTGTACTTGTTGTATTGTGCAGTACCGGTACTGAGGTCGAGACCGTTGAGCAGTCTCCCATGATACTTTACGCCCTTCGCGCGATAGGTTCTAAAGTGATAAAAATCTAGGGGAATTGATAATAGTCCAAGGTCCCTTCAAATATCTCCACAATAGCCCATAGACTATTGAGAAAATTATTTGCAGTATTGGAATGCAGTATACCCATATTCCCAAGCCGGGGTTTCAGTGGGCGCTGCGCCCAATGCACTAACCATAGCTCTCGGGTAAGCTCTTTAGATAGTCGAGATAAAGTGCTCTGAAGGGCTGGAAAGTGGTTGGAATCCCTAAGGTTATCCCTCACATGAATAAAACTTCAGCATTGATTGCTATACTTCGTACACGGGATCCGTAGTTGGAGGGTTGTAAACATATCCACCTTGGGTGGGATGATCCTACACTGCTCATGATTTTTGGCAGGTTCGACTCCTGTTCCGGAAGTTTAACCTTAATCGGTATGGTGAAAAGTTTCCACCTGTACCTGCGTCCGTTGGATTCCCTTTTTTATTTGTGAGGATAATTCCGTGCTCACCTGTATTAACGTGCGGGCGCACGTGAAGTGGCTGCATTCGATTGGGGGTTTTCCCTCCCGTTCTTTGCTCAGGGATTTTTTCTCGCGAGAAAAAGAAACTATTTATGCTGAGGTCTCCATGGACATCTGAAATCGAGAGCCTTCTTAGGGTTGATGAAAGCACCGGAGGAGTTCGGGGAAGGTCGAGGCAGGGGTGATTGCGGGTTGGCGTTGCAAGCGATGCGGCTCATTGATTGACAGCCCGGGGTCTCCTTTTTTTTTTTTTTGTTCTTCCCTCGCGTTGTTGTTGATCCGATAGGGTACCTGTAGGGCAGAAGATGGGGGAGGATAGTAACAAGTTTCTTAGCCTGACAATCATAAGTTATGGCTGTGTTTTATGGGGACTGTTGTAAACTACGGTATTGTTAAGGTGTGGACAAAGCTCTGTTGGTGTTCCCAAAATGCAGAGGCCACCGTTATCATAACAAACGTACATTAAAAGTCTGAACCAAGGGAGGGAGGAGCATCCTGGTTAGCTCATCATTTTGGCGAGGGAATTTGGGTTGTGCTGCCGCGAGGTGGATGCGAGCGGGGCTGGTTCATCTTCTCTCTCATTTTTTCCTGTTGTAGGGCACAGGTCTGCAGTTTTTTTTTTCCGCCTCCCTTGACAAGCAACCTTCTCATTTCATCATCGTCCTCCCTTTCCTCACCACCCACTCTCTTGCCATTAATTCATCCGCGGTATCATCCTCCATCCCTTTTATCATCCTCTGCCCCTCCATCTCACTATCTCCCTCTCGAGTCCTAGCATCAGGCTTCCCTAAAGCTTGCCTTTTTCGCGCTCTTAAACGTTCTTCATCAATCGAAATGCGTGAAATTGTATTTACCCCCCGCCTGATTTCCCCATGAAACCCCTTGGTTGTGCTAGATCCTAGGCCTTCCTCTATCCCGCTCGCCCTAGAGTTCTTCCTTGCTAACGGTTCCCTTTTTTCATTATAGATCCATCTCCAAACCGGACAATGTGTAAGCTCTTCCTCTTACTGTTTATCTTCTCGCCATATATTAGGCTAACATCCGTACAGGGTAACCAAATTGGAACTGCTTTCTGGTGCGATCAGCCGATTCTTATTGCTATCCCGGATTATCGAGTTAACGCAGTTTAACTATTCTAGGCAAACCATCGGTGGAGAGCATGGTCTTGACGGGTCTGGAGTGTATTTACCTCCCCCCCTTTCTTTTCACTACCTGACCTGGCTGGTGTGGTTTCTTTTGGTTCCGAGCTTCTAACATGGTGGCCGTAGCTATGGAGGAACCTCCGATATTCAATTGGAGCGTATGAGTGTATACTTCAACGAGGTATTTTTTTTATGTTTACTTTTTCCCCTTGATGACCCCTTTCTACGTTTTAGGCCTAGCTTACATTAATTTAGGCTTCTGGAAGCAAGTATGTGCCACGTGCTGTGCTTGTTGATCTTGAGCCTGGTACCATGGATGCGGTCCGTTCGGGTCCTTTTGGCCAACTCTTCCGCCCTGACAACTTTGTCTTTGGTCAATCTGGTGCTGGTAACAATTGGGCCAAGGGCCATTATACTGAGGGCGCCGAGCTCGTTGATCAAGTGTTAGATGTCGTCCGTCGTGAAGCTGAAGGATGCGACTGCCTTCAAGGTTTTCAGATTACTCACTCGCTCGGTGGTGGCACTGGTGCCGGTATGGGTACCTTGCTTATTAGCAAGATTAGGGAGGAGTTTCCCGATAGAATGATGTCTACTTTTTCGGTTGTCCCTAGCCCTAAAGTTAGTGACACTGTTGTGGAACCATATAACGCCACTCTCTCTATTCATCAGCTAGGTGGGTTCATAAGTATCTCCCGGTAATGGTGATTCAACTATTGACCTTAAATCAGTTGAAAACTCGGATGAGACTTTCTGTATCGATAATGAGGTGCGCATTAAAATTTATTCAAGCTATAAGCTTGGGACACTCGATAACTAATGGGTCATAGGCACTTTACGATATCTGCATGCGAACGCTTAAACTTGCCGCTCCATCTTATGGAGATCTCAACCACCTTGTTTCGGCTGTCATGTCCGGTGTTACCACTTGCCTTCGTTTCCCTGGCCAACTGAATTCTGACCTCCGTAAACTTGCCGTCAACATGGTTCCTTTCCCTCGTCTCCACTTCTTCATGGTTGGATTCGCACCCCTCACCTCGCGTGGAGCTCACTCTTTCCGTGCTGCCACTGTCCCGGAGCTCACCCAGCAAATGTTCGACCCGAGAAATATGATGGCTGCTCCTGATTTCCGTAATGGACGCTATCTTACCTGTGCCACTATCTTGTAGGATTTCCTGTCTCGCGCTAGGTAAATTGAAGCTGACACTCTTCAGCCGTGGGAAAGTTTCCATGAAGGAGGTTGAGGACCAGATGCGCAATATCCAAACTAAGAGCTCCGGTTATTTTGTTGAGTGGATCCCCAACAACGTCCAGACTGCTCTGTGCTCGATCCCGCCTAAGGGATTGAAGATGAGTGCTACCTTTATCGGAAATTCTACCAGCATACAGGAAATGTTCAAGCGTATTGGTGATCAGTTTACTGTCATGTTCAGGAGGAAAGCTTTCCTACATTGGTACACCGGAGAGGGTATGGATGAGATGGAGTTTAGTGAGTTTAACCGAGTCCCTTCATGGGTTGTCATTGGAAATTAACCCTATTGCAGCTGAGGCCGAGTCCAACATGAACGATCTCGTCGCTGAGTACCAGCAGTACCAGGATGCTGGAATCTCCGATGATGAGGGAGAGGCGTACGAGGAGGAGTTGCCAGCTGATGGCGAATGATGTTTGATCAATCTGCCTCTTGACCATGCCAGTCTGGAACAATAAGGGAGGAGGGGGGAAGCATGATCAGGCGGTGGATTTCTGTTTTATTCATTCTTGCTGTATCGGATTTAATATCTATACCCATCTCTGTTTTGTTTTGTCGGCCTAGGCGTGAAAGCGGTTGATGGTGGGGAAAAAGTTTCGGGATCTGAATGGCATGCTGTTGGTGGGAATTAATGCAATGGTACAGTTCTTTGAAATTTGGAGTAATTGGGAGGTGTGAAGAGGTCAATTCATTGAAATTTGTATTATCAATTCAAGGATGGATTCAGTGTTGAAATCACTGGTGGTTTATGCACTAGCTTGTGAGCGATGGGTCCTATTCCTATTATACTGTCGCTCCAAAGTTATAGATGATGCATTGTGAGCATCGCCCCACTCGGATTGCCATGCTGTGTGATCCTACGAAGCGTATATTTTGGGAAAGGCTCGGTTTCGGACTATACAAGTACGGTACTAGAAATTTAAGTACGCTGTCAGTGTCTTCGGGAGTGACCTGGGCGCGTGTGCAAGCTATGATACCGGGGGTGGTGGGCGGCACGGGTCGGGTATAGCCGTCAGGTCAAGGCTAGAAAGGGTCCAGGAGTGATAAGAAGTGATTGCAGTGGCCCTACACGAATGTCACTCGCGTCTTGGACTGAGTGCACTCTACGAGTAGTGAACGGGTGCAGGCGACCGACTGGTGCAATTGGTGCGGGTCACCTTTGCTACATTTACAGTATGAGGAGTATGAGCAACGGGTCCGTAATTTAATATCATATGAAAAGACAAGACAATTCACTCCTCCCCGTTCGCCCAAACGTCGTACTATGCCCAAATGTATCCTTCCTATTAAGCCTCGTCGCCCTGCCTTCGGCCACTGCACAGGCCATGACGGACCCATGATCCTCCGCCTCGTAATCCTCAAAATTTCTCACGATAACCGCCCGGGTTCCCGCTCTTGGGAATGATTGCATAACATTCTCCCAATCGTCACACGATTAACGCCTGCACGAGCGTGTGTCCACCCTTATTCGCGGCCTCGACCAGCGCCGGGTTCTCGGGCACATCTCCCAGTCTTGGGCGCTTGACCTTACGGGCCGAGGGGGGAGTAAGTGCAGGTGGGGGGGGGGGGGTTGTTATTCTCCTTGCAGAAGCCCAGCGGATGGGTGTTTGGCAGGAATAGATGGATTTCCTAATATTTGGCTCCCGGTTGTCTCTCGCTCCGCTGTTTCAGGCTAAAGGATTGATCGGGCACAAATCTGTATACCCCGGCCCGAGCCTTTCCAAGCTCTTCTCGAAGCTCTAAGGAACCTCGTCCGGATACGGGAGGTGGTCCCAGACCTTCGTCGTGATGAAGTGGCCCTCCCGGTGGACGTTGGGACGCTCGTGTGGGAAGTCCCGGATGGCGGGCCCGATCTCGAATTTGCTCTTGCAGGGCTGGGCACAAGTCCGAGTGGGGATTGCCGGTGCACAGGGCGCAGGGGACGGCATTGTAGGAGAACCTTCGCTCGCTAGGGTCCCGATGGATGGGCTTGCCGAATGGGAGGGTGAGGGTTCGGCCGAGGGACATCTTGAGAGGGATGGGTGAGTCCGAGCTGTTTATGAGGTTAGGAGATGGGGAGGGGTGGGTAGGTGCTCCGTTATCTTGTGGGTATTTCCCCTCTACTGTACTTGTATAATATTGTGTGGTGAGCGAGAAGGTGACTGAAACTGTGATGGATTGATAGTTCATCAATCTGGAGATACTCAAGCACTCGGTCTCATACTCTTCCCTCCCGCCATAGTCTGCATGGCACTCCTCCCGCTCCCCCTTTGCCTCACCATCCAACCTTCTCCATCCCACTTCCAAAAATCAACGTTGGAAACTTCATCGCCAGGAACAATCCCCCCCGATTCCTCATCTTCCTTGTAAAAACTCTTCAGAGAGAATTAAGTCCCTCTTCCATAGATCGTAGCACCCCCCCTCCTAGACCGCCTAGTGCAAACTACATCATGCTAGGTACCCCGCCATCGGAGTCGGATTAGGGTCACCCCCCTTCCGGGGCTCCTATCGCCGCCCTTCCGTAGGGAACCCCAGAGTAATAGCGGGAGGGTGAGGGCTGAAGAGAGAAGGGAGGGGGGAAGGGAATGATAGATACTCGCTTGTATTCCCCTTGCAGAAAAAAAAATGCGATGTCAAGACGGGATGGACACCGTAGATCATGTTTCTCCCCGCATTCTCGAGGGTTGTTCCGGCTTCTGCGTGAGGTGTACTCGAGTAGTGTCATATCCGTTGGCCAGCTGCAAGGGGGGGTAGGTTATTTGCTATATCGTATGTACCGGCACTGTACGGTCGCGTGGGGATTGACAGGTACAGAGTACTGCACGGGGAGTTTACCGCTATTATTTTTATTGGGTTGAGGCCCAGGGTGGTGGTGTTGAAAACTTTTGGTTGCATCAGAGTACCTATGCTGGGATGTCGGGTCGTGATGCTGAGTTCATGATTTCGTGATCGGACTTGGTAACGTTCAAGGACTGGGGGCGGATATATATTTTAGTTGTCTTTTTTGCAATTGATTTGGAAGGGCCTTGGGGGAGGTTACGGCACCGTAGCCGTGCTGGAGATGGGAGGGGACTGGGAGTTGGGCAATGTCTGGTGAAGAGATTTATCGTTGAATGGGGGTTAGTTAGTCGCCAAAATCGAAGGTCTGTTCCCGAGGTATAAGTTAACCGGCGGTTACGGTATGGAAATTGCTTCTTCTCTGGCGGCCTCGACGAGGGCAGAGTTACGGTGATAGTTCTCGCTCGTGGATCAAATATCGCCGGAGATTAGTGTCTCTAGTAGTATTGAGAAAGCAAGTGCGGTTCTTAAAGAGCGAGATGTGGTGGAGCTGTTGTTAGCACATAGGTGAAGACCGGGGATAGGCTTTAGACTCTGGCGAGTGGAAGTGGTATGGGCGGTGCCAGAGAAGCTTTCAGCTGGAGGCGGTGGGTGAGAGGGAGGAAGGGAGATGAGAGGGGGAGAGTGCTTGTATGTATCGGGTTCTCCACCCTCCGGGGAAGAGGCGTGGAGCCGTGGTTCATTACTGCAGACTGTATGTGCTTTGAAAATATCATTTCACCTTTACAAGCACTTTTCGCCAAGAATAGTGTAACATGTCGGTATGCCTGTTTTCAGTGGCTCCGACTGCTGGTTCCTCCTCTGAAAGACCAACAAAATTGGAGGGCAGCAGAATACGTGTCCCTCTCTTTTTTCTCAATCGATAGAAGCCCTCAAGATGGCACCCTCCCGATCACCACCCTCCAACCGTACGGACACCGAAAACACCGTTGAAATCCGAGCGACATGCTCCTCAGTGGGCGCATTGAGAAGCTGATGCACTCCTACTCTGTCCCCCCATCTCAACCTCAACATGAGCGCTGGGATTCCGGAAACTCTTTCGGCGGCCCCCTTCTTATCCCCCAGTGAAGGGTCATGGTCGTCTTTTGTGGCCTGAGATGCCTCCTTTCTAGCCGTCCCTTGACCTTCCTACACAGGTCTTGGATCCACCGAAGGAGAATGCATTGCCTCAAAGAACCTAGCTTTCATATCCGATACCGACCGAGTGCTCGCTCGTTGAAATAGGCCAACTCCCAGAGGGGCAAAAAGTATGTGAAATCTTGGACAGGCAGAACGGGCTCGGGATCAGGACCCCTCATACCTTCTTCACCAATGGTAGTGGGAAGATGGAGGCTGCTGGGTGTGCGCAGTTTAGCAAGATCCTGAAGATCCTGGGCCTTCTTCTACAAAGCAGTTTATCCTGTGGCACGTACCCATGGGCATGCTGAGTGAATACTACAACACCATGTTGGGGGGCTGTCTGGCTTCGAGGACATCGCCATGCCAAATACTATCGTGGGCTAGGGTGAGGCATTGCTCCATATGGGACTTTGAGCACCAGGAAAGGGGAGAGTGCCTGATTGAGGGATTTTAGGATGACGAATATCGAGGCCGCCTTAGCGTTCTCCGGTCCTAGGGATTACGCTATAGATCCACCATCATCATGGATCTTGCACAGAGTGAGGATGAACAGCGGGGGACCAGAGCGAAGGACTCAATCATCTAGCAGATACCCATCTACTTCTATGGTACGCGCCTCACCTCTCCTCCTATGATCTGGCTTAAAGGCTAACATGATCCCAAAGGCGATCTCCTCTACCGGTCTGAGACCAAATACCCCCGCATATCCCGGACACTTTCCTCCACGCTAGAAGCGGTGCCCAGAGCTTCAACCAGCGCCAACCTTGAGGCTACGGCATACACATAAGTGGGCGGCATGCTGACCTCCTGGATAGGGGAGATCCACTTCAACAAACTCCTGCCCTCGAATGTCAACATGATCGGCAACGACCTACGGTCCGACATAATCGGCAGGAGCCTACACAGGTGGAACACCTGCCTAGCGCGGAGGGGGGGGGGGGTGCACCAGGGATATGAGAGCGATAAGAAGAGTACGGCCTCCGTGAAGGGTGTTTGGTAGTGCACTTGCAATAGTGATTATGGCAGTCAGGCAGGAGCTGGGGGAGGATTTTAGGTTTGGTTTCAATGTATCAGGGAATCCGGTTTCGGTATACCCTGTGATTAGCGTGGTAGAGATCCAGGCGGGCTGTGCTTGGGATAGAAATCTAACGTTTTCTTTTCCTCTTATGGGGTTTGGTAGTTGCCCTTGCGAGGGACCTCTGTGTCAATGATTGTTTCTCGCCTTTTTATGTTTGTAGTGGAATTACCTTTGCCTGGTCTGTTGACTATTTGTTGCTGCGAAACCCACATTATGATTTATTCCTCCCTGAGCACTCCGTAGCATGTTATCTTGTATGTCCTAAAACATGAAGGGAACACAAAACCCCACAACCTTAAAAAGGTCTGCTGCACTCCTTTCTCCCTTCTGCCTACCAACAACGAAGCATATCTGGAAGGCCGGGCAGAAGAAAGGGAAAACAAAAAAGAGTTGAAACTGGATCGACAAGTTAACCCGAGATACCTGCTGTTGGGCTACAGACCCAAGACCAACTATGTCACTTATGCCAGCCACCATAGGGTATCTAGATTCAGTTTTAGGGACCAATATAGCTCTATATATCATAGTCTACGCTCGCACCCCATTAGGTTGTCTTGGGATAGTTGGTTTCTTTGGAATTTGTTGCGCTTCATTTAGTTTCCGAAGTTGCTGGCCATACTGAAGTGCACATCTCGTCTAGCATCTTCGTGCAGTAATTCGTTCGGTCGGCAATTTCTTCCCGGGTTTTCACCTCAGCAATCGCCACTTGCTCGAAGGGTACTTGGGTAGTTATGAAATATATCCTACTCTCCCTGTCGCTGGGGCTAATACCTGGGGCGCTGTACCTTATCTGGATATGGTCCTAGAGCTGTGGTCGTCTGGGAAGAGCGGTTGCCTATAATATCTGTGCCCGGAGGTACCATAATGTGAAGATTCATGGAGCATCACTCATCCAGCCAAATAGTCAAATAGTCACCCCGTGCAGGGCTGAGCATTGGTGAGGTTCGGGGGTTGATTAATCGTCATGCACCTCACCCCAATTCTAATAGGATTTCGTCCTCGCCGTCGGCTCACAGCCCGACGTCATCATCTATAGCATTTACCGTGATCTGTGATGTGCGCCAGTATTAAGGTAGGGCTGCGTCCTGCCCGAGGGGTCCTAAGCACCTACCCCCATGAGAAAAACTTGCGCTGCGGGCTCTAATTCATACTTCTTGTATGGTCCTCCCATAATAGGCCTACGAAGATATTATTTACCGGGAAAAATACACATTCCTGTCTCGAGCACTACCACTCCCATGGCTAGCTTAGGTTATGGTGAGTTGTCTGTGTCTGTCAGAGTTCATGCCTTTTTGTTTATCCTGATTGTCTGTTCACTGCTCCATAGGATCTTCCTGGTATTTTTCCAATACCCTCCTACCTATCCCAGCATACCGGTAGAATACTTGGAAGTACCTACTTTGCTACTATCAAGGCTCACAAGCAAAATTACCCGCACAATGTAGGCGGTAATTCTGGTGGTCTTATCTCGCCAAGGTGTTTCGCCCAATACCAAGTATATCACTGCCGGCGCTCCCAGGGACTGTTCATCCAAAGAGGGTCTAGTGGAGGCATTTTGATACCGTAGTCTTCACAAGAAGACAAGAGGGAGTTGCTTAACGGTTCTAATATAGCATTGTATCCAATATATCTCCATCATATCCCCTTTGGGCTACTTGGGGTACTGTGCATTCGGGAAATCGCTTTTGCACTTCTGACTAGTTAGGTTGGCGTACTTGTGTTTCTGAGGGAAGAATTGACACCTATTTGCCCTTTCTATGGGCATGCGCCTGCAGCAGCCATTCAAGAAAGGTCGCCAATTCTCGGTGCGAAAACGCAAGTGCAGTACTTTCACCAGGGTCTGCCCTTGCGGAAGTCAGGGAGTTGGCCCATCATATTGGCTGAACGATCGGTCGTGGGTGCTCCTCCGCTGGTGGGCGCCCAATCATTTATATTAACTGAATGACAAAGGCCTCGGCGGGTGAAGGATCGAGACGCCTATCGGATTCCCTCTCTCTAGTAAAAACTCGGACAGAGGAAAGATGTGCCTGGACGCTTTAGTTGGTTCCCCCAGTAAGGCGTTGTGCATATATTCCCTTGTGTTTTATCTTAACCAAGGGTTAAGTTTGCCTTGTTTTCCCCTCGCCTAATCGCGAAGTGTGAATTCCAACGTCCTAGCACATTTCCCTTCTACTGGTATTCTAGTTCCTACAACATCGCAGTCGCTCATATCATCTACCGCAGTAAATCAAAAAGACCACGCCAGGTGGCTGCCCTGCGTGGGAGGAGTGGTGAGGCGCAGCTATCAGGAATATTTAGACCCCAGCTGTGGCATCGGTGTGGGGGGAGAGAGTCATGCGGTTCCAGGTCAGAGGGGGTCCGCATATAAGGCTGCTTCTCAATGGAGCATACTTAAAGTATTCCAGAGACAAAATGAACCGCTGGGGGACGGTTGTTTAGCAGCGAATTAGATTTCAAAACCTGCACATAATTATCGGTAGTTAGGGCATAATGCGTGGAGCAAGGATGGGGGTGCATATGGTACAATGATAAAAGTAAATTTATGTCCGGTAGACAGTCCCTTGTATGCGGTCTAGTAATCAGGCCTCTACGGGCAGATATGCAGAACTGTACTAATAGGAACTCGGGGGCCCAAGTGCCACTCGCACATCGAACTTCCATACACCTCCAGCTTGGCCTTGCTAACTTTGGAGTGGTAAGCTAGTCGAGTGTCTTAAACATCCGTTGTTGCATTTACCATCCTCTTCATCCACATCCCGTACCATCTCATGTCAATCACCCCACCACACTACATTTCTCCCTCCCGCCAACCCCAGATTTACCTACAGGATAAACAAAATTAAGAGGGCAAATGAATAGCTGAACTGCGGAAATACATTCTGCGGAAGAAGGGCATACCGCGATGCCCCAACAGGCAAGATAGAACCAAGGATCTAGGTTGAGCAAGCGTTCGCTAACTTGGTAACCCCACATAAGAACTAGACATCCTCAAATTCAGAAACAGGGCCTTGAAACAAAAAAATTAAGGGACAAATACCGAAGCTGGAGACTGCATTCGACTACGGGGATTTTTGCTCAGTGGAAACCCGGAACCAAGAACTCTTGAGTGCAATAGGTATTGGGAAGGCCAATGTTTTACCGGGTACGGTAGGAACGCGGAACCCAGTCTCCATCCTAGGTTGTGCCGATTCCAGCCCAGTTAGTATTCAAGACCCCATCTCTGCAAGCGCTCCTCACCTACCGAAACATATATATCAACAGTCGCCGTTCAATCATACACACCGGATCCTAGAACAATACGTTGTCGGATTGTGGTGGGATTAGCAAAGCCTGAGCGAATGTTCCGCTTTCAACTGGTGTTTTTGGACATAGGATGGTAGTAGAGATATGATACCAAACGCAAGAAGTGTGGGGGTTTCCGGGAGTGTCGCATCCGGTCAGGATCCTAGAGCCACTAGGTGCCAGGGAGATCTGCTTGATAGGATGGAAGCCAATGATGCTCTGTTATCTTAAGATAAGCTAGCAGACGAGGTAATCTTCCTGAATGGGGCGATTGTGGTGGCCGGGGGTGCGATTTCAGCAATGGGGGGATGCGCTCCAGGCGAGCCCGCTGGATAGACATGCTGAATAGCCGGAGTCCCATGGTGACGATATTAAGCAGGGAGGGGGGGGGGGGCGGTATAAGAGATTTCGAGTTCCTGAGGGGATGGATGAGAAACTAGTGAGAAGGTCTGGCTCTGGTGACCCGTGTCATTTCAACGCACTCGGGAACTTGGGAAGCATATTTTTGGGTAGGATTTGAGCGGATAGGGGACCTTGATGACCTCCGAAAAGCCGTTAAGCATAGTGAAGGAGTGCTAGATGCTACTCCTCGAGATCACCCTCACCGAGTGGCCATTCAGAATAACCTGGGAACCATGCTCACGGTGAGGCATGAACGGATGGGAGACTTTGATGGCCACCGAAAAGCCATTAAGCACAGCGAAGGGACGCTAGATGCTACCTCCCGTGATCGCCCTCATGGAGAGATTCTGTAGAACAGCCTAGGGGTTATTCTCTTCGCGAGGTTTGGGCGGATAGGAAACGTTGGCAACCTCCAAAAAACCATTAAACACGGAGAAGAGGCATTGGCCACCGTCCTTCAGAATCACCCCGATAGGGCAGGCAGAAAAAAACAGCCTGCAGAAACTGTTCTCCACGAGGCTTGAGCGGATGAGAGACCCGGGAGACCTTTAAAAAAACTATTAATCGCAACGAGGAGGCACCGACTACCATCCATCCAGATCAATCCCATCGGGTCATCATACACAATAGCCCGGGGAATATGATCTCCTGCAGGTTTCAGCGACTCCGGGATCTCGATGGCCTCCAAATGCTATCAAGCATGGAGAAAGGGTACTGAAACCTTTCCCCAGAGATCATCCTGATTGACCGACCATGTGCACTAGCATGGGTATATGTTCAGAATCAACATTTTTGAGGAAACACTTTGTCGAAGACTTAAACAAGAGCTTTAGCCCATACCACGAGGTATACCATTGCTACACCTCACAGCCCATGGTACAGATCGGGGCGGATCACAGGGCGGCTTCTTCACTATATTCAAGCGGAAATTTTCATGAATCAAGTCCCATACTCGAGGTCGCGGTCAACTTGATGCCAAGAATCAATCTAGGATCCTTAAAACGGGATGACCGAGAGCACATGGTGTCGGAACTCTCTGGATTAGCATAGGCTACTGCTTCTGCGGTTCTACAAGCTGAGAGGGGGGCCTACCACAGTCTCAAGTTACCAGAGCTCGGTCGTGGAATACTCATGAGCTTTAAACTCGGCTCAAGGTTTGAAGGTTCAGATCTTAAGGTCGATCACCAACTTGAATTCGGTCAATTGCGCCGCCTTCGGGTTAGGGTTGACACGCAAATGAATGAAACTACCCACGCAAGCGACGAAACTCTGGAGTGACGCCTAAATCGTATTAGATCTAGACGTCTGGAGGCCGTCAGTGAAATGGAAATTTTTCTAGCTCATATCTGCATGTTACCTGGCCATGGCGGATTCCTGTTCTCACCCTCTCAGGAGGTTTTCGTGAGAATAGCAACAAATGGTCTTATCGTCGTCTTCAACAGCACGGTTTATAGAATAGGCACTACAACTGCCACAGCCTCAGCAATAACCTCCTTAGAACTTCCGAAATTGAGCTACGAAGGAGTGAGCCCTCTG